CTCCTGCCTCAGCCTCCTGAGTAGCTGGGATTACAGGCACGCACCACTATGCCCAGCTAACTTTTTGTAGTTTTAGTAGAGATGGGGTTTCACCATGTTGACCAGGATGGTCTCGATCTCTTGACCTCGTGATCCACCCACCTCGGCCTCCCAAAGTGCTGGGATTACAGGCGTGAGCCACCGCGCCGGGTCAGGGTTTTTTCTTTAAACACAAGCGTGGGAAATTTCACAACAGTGTGCTCAGGTATAGTTTTTGGGTTTTGTCCTACACGGTACTTTGTGTTCACTTGCAATCAAAGAACTTGTGTCTCCTTTTTAGTTCTGGGAAAAATTTAGCTAATACTTTCATCAAATATTGCTTCCCTTCTAGTCTCTCTAGTCTTTTCTCTTGAAAGTTTATTAGATATTGAGCAATGCTGTCCCTGTCTCTATCCTTTGCTTATCTACAATCTTGAAATGGGAAATCAATCCATTTCCACAACACATATAAACTATTTTTCTGACATACAATTTTTATGATATCATTCCCATGGCTGCCTTGACTGTGTCCTGGTCTCTTTGCAAATGTGCAAGGATATTTTTTTAAATTGTCTGATCCTTTCTTCTCTTTCCACTCTTCCCTTGCATTGTCTCCTTCCTCCAACTCTAGCCAGATACTTCTACATGATTTTCCTTTTCAATAAGTACAGGATGTTCTCATTTACCTCTCTTTGCTCTCCTGTAATGAACTCCTGCTCGCAACTAGATTCTTTGGTGACTACAACTATCTACCCAGCTCATACCTTTCCTTCAGGTTTCAGCTCTGATCTCTTCTCCCACAAGGATGTCTTCCTTGCTGATATGGTTTGGTTGTATCTCCCACAAATCTCATCTTAAATTATAGTTCCTATAATCCCCATGCGTCTTGGGAGGTAATTGAATCATGAGGCCAGTTACCCTCATGCTGTTTTCATGATAGAGAGTGAGTTCTCATGAGATCTGCTCGTTTTACAAGGGGCTTTTTCCTCTTTTGCTCAGCACTTGTCTTTCCTGCTGCCCTGTGAAGAAGGATGTGTCTGCTTCCCCTTCCACTATGATTGTAAGTTTCCTGAGGCTTCCGCAGCCACCATGATCTGCGGGTCAATTAAACTCTTTCCTTTATAAATTACCCAGTCTCAAATATGTCTTCATTAGCAGGATGAGAATGAACTAATACCCTTGCCCTCATCACATATGGGTTCCATGCCCCTTCTAAGTACCCCGTAGCATGCTGTGGTTACTGCTGTTATACCTTACTGTACTTTAGGTTAATTACACTAATTTCTCCCCAACCATAGGTTGTAAACAACGGTACAAAATCATCACTGCTGTGTACCTCACAGAGCCTGGAACATGAAGATTGCTCAATAAATATGTTTTAAGTTTTAAATGTATAATGTTGAATGTGAGGTAGGAAAGCAAAAAGAAAAAAGTATCTTTTTTCAAGAAGCTTAGTTATAAAAGAAAGGTTGTAGGTTGGATGGTAGTTTAAATTAGTTGTTTTTGACAAGGGAAGGTTTTTTTTTTCTTCTAAGACAACATTTAAGAAGGGAAAGTGCAGAGGGGAACACTGAACACACAGGAGAAATGCAGTAACAGCAGGTGGAGTGCTGCTTTTTTGGAGGGGCTGGATAAGAAGGCATTGGATCAGAAGGGACAGGGTTTTTTTCTCTGTCACAAGAAAAAAAGGAAGTGCCAGTGAAAGCTGAGAGAATTTAAAAACATGACAACATGAAGTAAAGATTTCAGTCCTCAGGGTTAAGTGATTTTTCTGTGAAGTAGGAAGCAAATTCTAAGAACAAACCAACAGATGTGCTGGACACTTGAGGATACTGTAAGCAGTCTTAAAATAGGTGTCAAGGAGAATGGAAGATTGCCTTAGACAGGTCAGGAACTCTTAAGTCCTGCTGCCTTAAGAAGTGTTCCTTGAAACCAAAGGAAAATTTACAAGCTTGTCTCTGAACTGATGGCTCAAAACAACATATTTTTAAAAGTTGTTTATCATTAATTAAAATTATTGATGGATCAAGAAAGGCATCAATAGTTATTCAAACTGATAAATAGTGAATGACTTAAAGACTTGACCAAAAAAATGCTTTACCTGTGTAAGACAAAAGCCATAGTTACTGAATAAACTGAGTTATTCATATCCAAGATATCAGTACCAACACAAAAATGGCAATGAAAAAAAAAAAGAATTGACATATTTAATGCTAAATTTTTGAATACTTTTGCTTTTTATTACTAATGGTAATTTGCTTAATGCATAATGAAATATAATTTAATATTTTTAAAACTTGTATTCTTCAACTTTGCATTTATAAAAGAAAGTCATTGTGCCCTGTAATCCCAGTAGTTTGGGAGGCCAAAGCGGAAGGATCGTTTGAGTCCAGGAGTTCGAGACCAGCCTGGGCAACATGGGGAAAGCCTGTCTCTACAAAAAATAGAAACAAGTCAGCCAGATGTGGTAGTACATACCTGTAGTCCCAGCTATTCCAGATCGGTTGAAGCCATGAGCCTGGGAGGTGGATGTTGCAGTGAGCCAAGATCATGCCACAGCACTTCAGCCTGGGCAACAGAGTAAGATCCTGTCTCAAAAAAAAAAAGAAAGTCATTTGTTTATACAGTTTTTTTTTTTTTAATTCTTACCTTATATAAGACTAACTAGTAAGCGTGGGCTCCTCAAACATCACCAACAATTACAATTACATTACAAGTTATAGTCAAGAGTTCAGAGTCTTCACAGAGCTCATTGGGTTTGAAAAAACTATACATTACTGCCAGTACATTTCTTGTCAGCTTCTGTTGGGGGCAGTATACAAAAACAAAGCGTTTATTTTGTTATAGTAGATGCTCATCCCTGTGCAAGATATTTAAACAGAAACACTGGGAAATAGACCAGGAGAGCTACATCCCACTCCACAGTATTTGGGGGTATTAATTCTTTCTATATTTGTTTTAAGATGTTTGATTAAATTAATATGTTTGATTTTTGCCTAGGTCTTTTTTAGCCATATAAATTATTTGCTATTATATAGGAATCTGAGGTGTTCAGCCTTTTTATAAACATTCAGTAAAAACTTCAAACAAACATGTATTTGATTATCTAAAAGTATTGTTTCCAATATACAATCATTACTACTCTGAGCCCATCCTGTGGGTATTTCATGTAATTTTTCTAGTATATTTATCAAACTACTTAAAAAACTTAAGAAGACATCAAGCCAGTTACGTTTCAATTTATTTGCACCAGAATATCAAACAGTGGAATCTTATAAGATAATAGCAAAATTTTTATTGCTATTTCTATTGTTGAACTATGCTGATGGAATGCTTCTTCAACAAGGATAAAATAAAGCGGTTAAATAAGAAGTAACAAAAGCAGAGATCACATAAAAGAAAAATAAATATCCAGATGCCAGAAATGAAACAAGAAAACAAAACTAAAAGAAGATTGCTATTTTAAGCCAGTAAGTTTTAAGGTGGTTTGGCAAAGGCTGATTGATAAACTAACTAAAATATAATTCATGTGTAAGGATAGAATAGATATATCTTTAACCCCAAAAAATGAGATTTCTATTTTATGAACATCTCTGAAAGAAGTACTAATAAATATTCTCCAAGAAGAAAAAAACTGAACCCAGAAAGAAGTAGTTGAATACTAGCAAGTAATAAACATATTAGTGAACTAAATAAATATTGATTGTGCAAAGTAATGATGATAATGACTAATGTACAGGGGGCAATGTCACAGTGTCCACACTGTGCACTGTCAACAGCGCAGGGGGCAGTGTCATAGTGTCCACACAATGGACAACTTAAGTGTCAAACAGAAGTCATGTGGGAGGAGAGAGGTATGATCAGAGCTAAGTTCCCTAAAAATCTTACAGTTTAGGAAGAGGACAAAGATATGATTAACTTTAGAACTGCACTCTTCAATAGGATAGCCATTAGCCCCAGGTGAGTATTTAAATGTAAATTTTAATTAATTAAAAAAATCAATAAAATTGAAAATTCAGTTTTTTTGCCTCCTACATGTAAAGAGCTTGGAAGTCATTATTCTCTTTCTTGCAGTCAAGAAAAAAAGCTAAACAAACTAAAAATCAGTGATGTTTCTTAGGCCTATCAGAGATTGAGGTTTCAGGGCAAACTACAACCCTAAAATCCAGAGAAACAAGTAAATACAGAGAATCACAGCCAAGATCAACTCATCTGGAGCAGAAGTCTCTAGAGCCAGAAATTGGTAGGATGGAACGCACAAATGCTAATTTTGATGAATTGCTGGAGGCTGAGTGTGGCCTGTAGTGAGGGGAGACATTCCTGGGGTCAGTACCATTAAGGGGCAGAAGCAGGTGGGTGTAACTGGAGAAAGGCAAAGGCTGTGGGGCTCAAGGATTCATTCACCACTAGTTCTGGTACCAAAGTAGGGGAGGAGGGTCTGACGTCCCTCTTCTTCTATCCCCCATCTGTTGCTGCTACTTCCTGTTGGATTGATCAAACCCAACTGGAATCCAGGCATCAAAGAAGAGAATTGGTGATGCAATACGCAGTGGTCAGCTTCTTCTAGAAGGGATGTGTTAGGGAAATAGAGAGTAAAGCCAGCACTAGATCTCTCTGTAAAAGAGTTGAAATATTTTAGCTCTTTTTCCATTTTTCTTTTGATCCTTTCTTTTGTTTTATTCTAATCTTCCCTTTTTATATTCATTAATCCTCTCTTAGACATAATCCTAATAAAAACCCAAGTTAATAGCTTCAAAAACAACTATATTATAATATTTTTAGCAAACTATGTCCATTTTAATACTTTTAAAACCTTTATACTACATCCGATATTGTTTATTCAGTATGTTGTAAATATTTCCACAACACTTAAGAAAATTTAGTTTATCAAAAATGCAAGCAAAGATTTCATTATATTGTTATGTAAAATTGTTATTTGTATTGTCTTGTTATACAGTTGAGCAAGACAGGAGAATTCATTGCTTGAGTTTTAGAAATAATTTAAATAAATTCAACCCTCACTATAAAACAAATTTACATTTATAAAGCACTAAAGGTTCCAGAAGGAACAAATTATAGGTTATTTATCACAGGTTTGGAAATGTAACTTTTCAGATACAATTATGATATATGCAAAATGTACAGATAAAATATTTAATTACATAAAATGCTTATATAATAGATAAGAAAAAGATTAAAGCGCAAATATAAATGAAGAAAAAATACAAATAATTTAAAAAAATAAAATGTATCTCCTGGGCAAGATGGCCAAAAGGAAACAGTTCCAGTCTGCAGCTCCCAGCAAGATCAATGCAGAAGATGGGTGATTTCTGCATTTCCAACTGAGGTACCTGGTTTGTTTCACTGGGACTGGTTAGACAGTGGGTGCAGTGTCCATGGAAGGTGAGCAGAAGCGGTTGGGGCATCGCCTCACCCAGGAAGGACAAGGGGTCCGGGAACTCCATCCCCCAGCCAAGGGAAGCCTTAAGGGATTGTGCCTTGAGGCATGGTGCTACACTTTTCCCACAGTCTTTGCAGCCCACAGACCAGGAGATTCCCTTGAGTGCCTACACCACAAGGGCCCTGGGTTTTAAGCACAAAACTGGGTGGCCATTTGGGCAGAAACTGAGCTAGCCGCAGGAGGTTTTTTTGTACTGTCTTCACAGAATTAGAAAAACTAGTTTAAATTTCATATGGAACCAAAAAAGAGCCTGTATAGTCAAGACAATCATAGGCAAAAAGAACAAAGCTGGAGGCATTATGCTACCTGACTTCAAACTATACTACAAGGCAACAGTAACCAAAACTATGGTACTGGTACCAAAGCAGATATGTAGACCAATGGAACAGAACAGAGGCATAAGAAATAACACCATACATCTACAACCATATGATCTTTGACAAACCTGACAAAAACAAGCAATGGGGAAAGGATTCCCTATTTAATAAATGGTGTTGGGAAAGCTGGCTAGCCATCTACAGAAAACTGAAACTGGACCCCTTCCTTACACCTTATACAAAAATTAACTTAAGAAGGATTAAAGATTTAAACATAACACCTAAAACCATAAAAATTCTAGAAGAAAACCTAGACAATACCATTCAGGACATAGGCATGGGCAAAGACTTCATAACCAAAACACCAAAAGCAATTGCAAAAAAAGCCAAAATTGACAAATAGGATCTAATTAAACTAAAAAACTTCTGCACAACAAAAATAACTATCATCAGAATGAACAGGCAACCTGCAGAATGATAGAAATGTTTGCAGTCTATCCATCTGACAAAGGCCTAATATCCAGAATCTACAAGGAACTTAAACAAATTTACAAGAAAAAACAAACAACCCCATCAAAAAGTGGGCAAAGGATATGAACAGACACTTCTCAAAAGAAGACATTTATGCAGCCAAAAAACATGAAAAAAAGCTCATCATCACTGGTCATTAGAGAAATGCAAAATAAAACCACAATGAGATACCATCTCACACCAGTTAGAATGGCGATCATTAAAACATCAGGAAACAACAGATGCTGGAGAGGACGTGGAGAAATAGAAACACTTTTACATTGTTGGGAGTGTAAATTAGTCCAACCATTGTGGAAGACAGTGTGGTGATTCCTCAAGGATCTAGAACTAGAAATGCCACTTGACCCCACAATTCCATTATTGGGTATATACCCAAGGATTATAAATCATTCTACTATAAAGACGCATACACACATGTTTATTGCAGCTATTCACAATAGCAAAGACTTGGAACCAACCCAAATGCCCATCAGTGATAGACTGGATAAAGAAAATGTGGCATATGTACACCATGGAATACCATGCAGCCATAAAAAACAATGAGTTTATGTCCTTTGTAGGAACATGAATGAAGCTGGAAACCATCATTCTCAGCAAACTAACACGGGAACAGAAAACCAAACACTGCATGCTCTCACTCATAAGGGAGAGTTGAACAATGAGAACATATGGGCACGGTAGGGGAACATCATACACCAGGGCCTGTTGGGGTATGGGGGGCAATGCGAGGGATAGCATTTGGAGAA